GATCAAACTCACATCACCAGGCTTGCACAGCAAAGGCCTTTACACACACACATACACACATACACACACACACACACACACACACACACACACACACACACACCTCCAGCCATCTTGCTGGCCCCAGGTACTGCTCTTTACACCTGTATAGATGTATTCAATATGGAATTTGGGACCGCAGTAACTACAAACTTACCTCAGCCATTTTGAACATAACAAGATAATTGCTAAAGATCATTGGAAGAATCCTACACCACCAGCACAGTCATCATTTGCATATTTGCATTCTAAAAAGCAAGTCCAACTTGTGAGGCACAAAAGTCAGCTTGTATCTTCAATGCCTTGTAACCAGAGGGCACATAGCCCTGAAAGCCCAGGATGTGAAGAGTAGACACACCGGCAGCTAGTTTGCTACCATACATTCATGCTTGTGGGTTGCCCCAGAGTGAGATCAAGAGGGGCGGTGTCACTGGGATGTCACACACAGTCTTTCTTGTTCACAGGAACCACACTTAGTGACAGAACCAACAGCTGTTCTTTCATGGAGCAGTCTGGTCACATTGCTTTGACTCTTTGCACAGTACACTCCAGTCCTTACAACTGAATCAACTGTGTGGAAAACCACAAATCCACATTGATTGATAATGAGGGTTTTCAAAAGTGGCTTAGCCATGCGTAGCGGATGTTCTTTTGCTCTAATGGTAGATCTTACATTAAACTGTTTGAGGCTCAGGTAGATAAACAGCATTTATATTTGATCTCACCTAGTATAAAGCTTCAGCTGCCTAGTCTGTTATTTGTAGAAGGGAAAGAATACCTTTTGAAAACCTAAAAAGGAGCATGTATCAAACATGATATTCAAAAACATACTAGAGTGATATAATCGTGTAATATCAAAAACAGTCTATGTCTACCACTTAAGTGATGGATTTAAAATTTTTCATTGAATTTCTATCCATTTCATGCAATACATATTGATCATATTTAGACCCCCTCCTCTATCTACAACCCCATAGCCTCTACCCCCACTGGATATCACACATTCTGTCATGTATATGAAGGCCTATAGACTCAAGTTTGTATCCCCAAATATCCCTCGGTGTGAGTCCAAAAGTGATGGATTTTTAAAACTCTGGTATGAGTATTTATGGAACTACCACCATAGTCTATGATTTAGGAATCAGCAGACTATGGTTCATGGATAATACCACCCATCATTTTTGTAAATACAGTTTTATAGAGACTATGTTCCTTTTTACTATATAGTCTATAGTTGCTTTCATGATAGGATTTTAGAGGTGATTATTTATAAAATAAGACTTATTTCATGGTCCTTAATTTTGAAATAACACAGTTACTATCTTGTCTTTTGCAGAAAAAGTTGACCAGTCCTTAATCTAAGTTGAAATATCCATTGTTAAAAACTTCAGTTACTTTATGCACCACTCATAAAGAAAACAATGCTAGCTAACCTATAACAGGCCATCAGTAGCAAGAAGCATCATCACTTTAAAAGTTTAGAATGTCAGGGCTGGAGAGATGGCTCAGTGGTTAAGAACACTGGTTGTTCTTGCAGAAGACCCAGGTTCTAATCCCATCACCCACATAGCAGCTAACAACTGTCTGTAACTCCAGTCCCAGGGGATCCAACAGCCTCTTCTGACCTCTGAGGGCATTGCACGACACGGGTGCACTTACCTACATGCAGGAAATACATGCATTACACATAAAATAAAAAATAAAATAAAATATTTTTAAAAAAGTTTAGAATGTGAAGAAATGGATATGAGAATTGATAAGTTGTAGATAGCATCTCCCACTTGAATGAACTACAACATCGTATCCATGTGATTAGACTGAGATTCTTAATGTTAAGAAAAAAGTGGTGTGAAAAGAAGAGTTTGCAGTGACAGCAGTGACAGGCATTATTCACACACTCACAAAAAATCCCACAGTTACATCATAAGTTTCTCTGACTGTGGGTATGAATAGCAAGCCAATTAAGCGTATATGTCATGAGAGTAGAAGAGAAGCTGCCTAGGGGGACAAGGGGAGCTAATAGGAGGAGGAGACAAAAGAGAGACCATGGGGGTGCAGAAATGTGCTTGATATACAGTGCATACCTATGTGAAAGTGTCCTTTTTAATTCAGAACCATTTTTACAATGAATTTATACAATGAAAAAACTTTTAATCAGAAAGCTCTGAAGAAAAGTGATACTAGAGCCTTTCCCTGGGAAGAGGAGACAAGATCAAGGAGAAAATTATCTTTATCTGTAATGTTCAAGCTTCTTAAAATAAATTCTTTAAATGAATGTTTATATTGTTAAAAATAATATTTTTGTTTTCTTGGATAATTTCATACAAAGCATTTTGATTATGTTCACCTTCTCTCTCCCATCACCTACCAGACTTTGCCCCACTTCCCTCCCTGCCCAAGTTCATGTCATCTCTATTTTTTTTTTTAACCCATCAAGTCCAATTTGTGCTACTCAAATACTCAGGTGTGGGATCATATCCTGGAGTGTGATCAACCTACCAGGGACCACACCCTTAAAGAAAACCTACTCTCTGTCTCCCAGAAGGTATTAATTACTGATAGCTCCCCCAGATAGAGGTGGGACTCCTTTCCTACCTTCCCACACCCCATGCTGGAGTTCTGTCTGGCTTGAGTTTGAGCAGATCTTGTGTGTGCTGGGACAACTGCTGTGAGTTCGTATGTGCAACTGCCTTGACAATATTGAGATAACACTGTTTCACTGTAGTCATCCACCACCTCTGGCTCTTGTAATCTTTCTACCCCCTCTTCAGGGAGGAGGGGGATGACACAGAAGACCCATTTAAGGCTAACCCCTCCACACAGTTTCGTATTTTCTGCACCTGAACTGGTTGTGGGTCTCTCTGTTAATCACCAACTACTGCAAAATAAAGCTTCTCTGAGACGGGCTGAAAGGTGTATTAATCTCTGGGTATAGCAGTAGGTCATTAAAAGTTGGCTTAATACAATGTCCCTTTACCAGAATAATAGTAGTAAGTTCTCCCCTAGGACCTATAACCTGTTTAGCCATGGGCCCTTGGCTCCAGTAACAGTGTCAAGTGTGCAGTCCAGCTTGTGGAACAGACCTTAAATCCACTGAGAGAGTGGTTGATTATTCCCATAGTATTTGTGCCACTATTACACCAGTGGGCATGTCTCACCAGGTCAGGCATAATTGTAGCTTGCAGGGTTCATATCTGGGTAAGACTGATGATTATCTTTCTCCCCTGGTAGCATGCATAGGACCTTCTATCATTTCAATAACTAGCTAGTAGGGATGAAGCTTCCAGATCAGTACCGGTTTGATTTTTTTTATGTTCTATGACTCAAGTGTATTGTGTTTTAGCAATAAGGTCTTACTCTTAAGTTCTGGAGGGTAACTAAGGGCAAAGGCAGTAATCAAGGACCTGGATGTAAGATCTGACACCCTTTTCTTTTTTCTTTCTTTTTTTTTTTTTTTTTTTTTGAGACTTGGTCTTACTATGTAATCTGGGCTAGCCTGGAACAAACTATATAGACCAGGCTGACCTCACAGAGATCCTCCTGCCTCTACCTCCTGGAATTAAAGCTGTACACCACCATGTCCAATGCCCAGCTTTTTAAAGTGCTGATTTGTTCTTTAAAAACATCATTTATTTATTGTGTGTGTGTGTGTGTGCGTGTGCGTGCGTGTGTGCATATAGGTGTGTGTACTCCTGTGCTGTGGCACAATGATGGAAGTCAAAGGACAATTTACAAGAGTAGGTACTCTCTATTCAAGGATTCCAAGGATTTAACTCAGGTCATCAGACTCAGCGCCTTTATTCTTGAAGCTATCTCGCTGTCCCCCCCCCAAAAAAATCCCAATTTTAATTTATAAGTATAAATCTACGTAGACTAACCATCAATAAACATGTAAAGACATTTCTGAACAAAAGCCTCAAAACAAGGAAAAACTGAAATAAAATATGTCAAAATGTTAGTAATGGTGAATTTGTATTGTAGAATGAGTGGTTGTTTTTTTTATCATATTTCACTGTAATTTTAAAGAACTTTATGGGTAACTTAAGATGAGTCATATTCTTTCTGTCTCAATCAAAAGAGATTAAGGTTTGAAAAAGGTACATGTAAATGAATTACCTGACATTACAAACTAATCCTGTTTTTCGACTGGGGCATTAAAATGAAACAACACGCAAGTCAGGGCCAAGCTTCATAGTTAAAGTCTTTTTTCCCATAATAGTAGTACAGCTAATCTTTAAAGACAATGTACTCTATCCATTACCATGAAAAACCACCAAGTAGGAAAGTTAAATGTCAGGTTTGTTTCTCTGCACAGAAATAGCTTGTCGTGAGTCACCTTGTTGATGTACTGATGTCGTTCCCTTCACTCTGACTTCACTTGTTTTGAAGCATGCATCGTGATTTCACACAATTTTGTATGTTGCCACATGCAACCTAGACCTCCCCTCTTACTTAAGAAATGTGTTTGTTTTGTTGTTATCTAAATCAGAGCTTCCTAAACAATCTAGAAGGACTATTTAGACATTCAAAACAGTGAGGCATTAATTTACCAGTAATAAGAGGGATTTGCTTACTTACCACTGCTTTCCCTTGGTTTTAGTTTTGGTTTGTTGCTAAATTTTTTTGGACTGGCTTGGCTTGGGGTTTTCTGAAGCAGGGGTCTCACTGTGTAGTCCAGGCTATCCTCCAGCTCTCTTTCCTCTTGCCACAACCTCCAACATGCTGAATCTACATGTGTGTACCACTATGCCTGCCTAGCTCATTGTTTAAGTGTGTCTTCCTCTTCATGAGACTTTAAAACCAAGAAGTCTTTGAAATTGAGAAACATTCAGGAGATGGGGCAGAGTGTTACCTGATGACCCTGAGGCTATGAGACTATGTGGACCCTGTTCCCAGCCTGCTAAGACCCAAAAGGAGGGGCTGTGCTTCTCCCCATGTAATACCACTCTTTCTTTTTCCAGTTCAATCTCACCATTTAGTATTGAGAGCACAAGACGCCAGAGACGATCAGAATCCCCAGACTCCAGGAAACGGCGGATCCACAGATGTGATTTTGAAGGCTGCAACAAAGTATACACAAAAAGTTCTCACCTGAAGGCACACCGGAGGACACACACAGGTAAGCTCCTCAGGGCTTCTCACTGTGGTCAGGGGAGGTGGAAAGGAGCACAACTCCATCCTGGATTCATTAGTTACTACTGTGAGTCATCAAACATGTTTTAAACTTAGCTCCTATCTTATGTACAGAATGCATTGTTTCTTGGTTGGGGAGGGGGACCTTTATTCATGTACTTCAGTAACCGGTAAAATATTTCTTCTACTTTGTAAGTGATTTTAAATACTATGAACAGAATGATCTAGTCGTCTTTCTGGTAATCAACTTAGCCACTTGATAATTATGTAATTTATTGGGTTTAAAAATGTCTACATGGCACCTCAAACAACAAGCTGAACAAAATGATTTTCTTCTCTCTTACAGCTAGAATGTAACTCAGAGCTGCCCTTAGATCATGGATCTTTTCTTTCCAATCCTCTTCCTCTAAGTAGTAGAGAAACAAACTAAAGATTCAAAATTCATATATAGACAGAGTACTGTGGGTACTTTTAAAAAACATTTCCATACAATTTCTATTTGATTCTCACTAGTATTTTTGTCTTTTCATAGAGGATTTTTAGTGTTTACAGAGAAAAGAATTAAGACCACAAGTAATGCACAGACTTTGCCACAACTGAACCGTCCATGTTTCTATCCACATAGCCAGAAAGCAAGCACATAATCATCACTTAGCCACTGCCCACCCATCTTCTTTTGTGTCGGAGAGTCTAGCAAGAAACAGAAGATGCATGTGAAAAGGACCCACCAATCACACTGCCTTTTCTAGGAAAAGTGACTAGTGCCTGGAGCCAGTGACACTCAAAGAAGCAGATAAAACAGGTTGGGAAACAGTCACATACTTCCTTGTTCAAACATGCCAGAGAACAAGTAAGCCTAGTTCAGTGCCTGTCCTTGACACAGTCCAGACTTCAGCCTGTTTCTCTAAGGGGAAATTTCAAGTATAATAGATTCCTGTGGCTGGGCATGGTGGCACATAGCTTTAGTCCCAGCACTTGGGAGGCAGAAGCACACAGACCTCTGTGAGTTCAAGGACAGCCTGGTCTACATAGCAAGTTGCAGGCCATCTGCCAATTGTAGCCACTGCGAGACCCTGTCTCAAAAAGAAAAGCAAAAGAAGATTCCTATGTGGCTGTGTGAAATATTCCCCATGTCAACCAAGTTGTTGCTGACCTGGGACCTTCCTCCCTGCTGGCTAGCTCTCACAGTACCAGAAGGGGCTGTGCAGTGTGCTGGGCAAGTGTGAACAAGTAATCAACTGTCGTACCCAGTTGTGAACCCTGTGAACTACAGTAATGACCAGTGTGGAAGATATGCCCACGAGTGCAATAGTGCCATGAATGTTTTGGGCCAGCTACTTTCTGGTTGAATTTAAGGCCCACTCCACAGGAGGAAACACAAGCCCCATACTGTAGATATGGCCAACAACCCGTGTTTTAGGAGCTCACAGGCCCAAGAAGTGAACCTACTAGTATTATTTTGCTAAATGAACATAGTATCAAACTGCCTTATAGATTCATATCTCTGTGCTCATAGATTAGCAGCTCTGAAGCTCTCAGACCTCGTCAGAGAAATTCATTTGTGCAGTGAACAACAGTTCATACAGAACTCAGAACTCGTCAAAGTAAAGAGAATAGATGTCTGTGGAGCTCTCAACCATACATGAGATGAGATGTCTATATCAGACCCTTCTCCATAGCTCAGGGATTTTTTAAGGTATTTACAATGCTTAATTCTACACATTTTTAAATTTAATTTTTTTTTTTTAGAATTTCCTATGTGAGTACACTATATTTACATCATTTCCATCCCTCTTTCTCCCTGTCCAACTCTTCCTGTGTCCCTCCTCCATTCCCTCCTGAATTCATGACCTCTTCCTCCATAATTAATGTACACACACACACACACACACACACACACACACACACACACACACCTACTGAGTCCAGTTAGTGTTGCCTGTATATACACGTGTTTAGAACTGACTGGTTAAGGTTCGGACACTTGTCAGGGGCCTAGTCCCTGGAGAAAATTGATTCTCCCTCCCTCAGCATATATTGATTGCCTGTAGCTCTCCATCTAAAGATGGGATGTTGTGAAATCTATCCCTATTCACAGTGCATATGCACTGGTGTGGGCTCGTGTGTTGACAGGTCATGGGCTCGGCATCCCCGGCATGTTTACAAGACACTATCTTGCAGCAACCATCCAGGTCCTCTGGATCTTTCAGCCAGCCTTTTCACCCCTCTTCAATACTGTTATACTATAGCTGTCCCAACTAGAGCTGGGCACCCCATTGTCACATATTATCTGCTTTTCAGTGAGTTGTGAACGTCTATAGTAGCCTCCATATCTGCTACCAAAAGAAGCTTTTTCATGAAGGATGTTAGCTGTACCAATCTATGACTGTAAGTATTTAGAATACAGTTGGAGGCTGTATTAATTAAGGAAAATGGCAATAACAGATTCTCTTCTAGGTGTATGATGTCTCCAGCCATAGGTTCTTGACTAGGCTTACAGTACCAGGCATGAGTTACTTTCTATTGTACAGGCCTTAAGTCCAATTAAATAGCTGTTGGTTTCGCCAAAGATATAAATGCCAGTATTGCACCACTGGGGATATCTTGCCGGTCAGTCGCTGTGGTTCACAGGCTTTACATCTCGGTAGGACTGTTGATAACTTCCCTGGGCAGCTTGTATAGCACCTTCTCATATGATGAGAGCTGGTCCTCAGGAAGGAGACTTCCAAGTCAGTAACAGCATGCTACCTCCAAGTCTGTGACAGAAGTATATGGTGTCTTCAGCCGTAGGGTTTTGCCTTCAAGTTCTGAGAGGCAGCCAAGGGGAATAACAATAGCCTAAACAGTCTTAGGGTTCTCTTGGGCCCCCCTTACCAACAATTCCTAAGGGGTCCTCCTTGCCTGGCCCTGGGGTTTTTGCTAGTTGGTGGCTCCTGATTGCCTTATCCATATTTCTTTTCCACTCTCAGTTCTTCTCCCTTTCTATTTGATTCTACATTCTTCCATTTTTGATTCTGAACTTACTCATGAGAATTTCCTGTTTCTTAGGCACTATATTTAACATTATGATTACTTTATATATTTAGTTATTGCACTGCTGGGGATTGAACCCAGGACTTTGCACATGCTAGTAAGTATTGGACACTGAGCTCCATCCTCAGTCCATAGGGACTGTTTTTAAAACATATTCTTTATAATTATGGCAAAGAATGAGTGTAAAGACATGGACGTCACGTAAGCATCTTACATTAGCAGATAATGAACAAAAAACATAACAGGAAGTGTGATTGGGCCATGTCACTGACTCATTTTGGGATCATTTCTGTTTAAAGAAAAGATCTGTCTTCAGTGATTCATCGGATATGTTGAGCTGTTTCTCTCCTCCTTGAGCTTTCTGGAATACATATTAGTGCCATTTCAGGCAGACACCTCTATTCTACTTACCCAAGTGATACATGGTAACAGAAAGGAAGATTCTTTTTAATCAGGTACGATTAAAAGACTTAAGTACCCAGTATTATAGGATTGCATCTTTCAGGTTTTAACATATACTAAGTAGGAGTCATCATTTACATACCATAATTCAAAACAATGTAAACCTTGAATGCTGAAGCTGAATTAACTTGACTTATTAGTAAGATGACCTCATTGACTTTGAGGTTCACAGTGGACATTATATGTCACAGAAGAATCCCTTACCTGTTAATTCTCACAGGAGCAAGTCACTGCCATGCTTTTTTCTACACATTTGCACATAATTTGTCTTGTTCAGTCTTCATGGCAACTAGGTGGCTGCAGCTGTTTGAATCTTTAAACAATTTTTATTAATTCTTTGAGAATTTCATACAATATATTTTGATTATATCCACTTCCATAATTCCTCCCAGATCCACCCCCACCTCACTACTCACCCAACATTGTGTCCTTATTTTTTTTTATACCTTTCAAGTCCAATTTGTGCTATCCATATACTCTTAGGTATGTGGCCATTCACTGGAGCTTGGTCAACCTGCCAGGGGCCATACCCCTAAAGCGCTCTCTCTCTCTCTCTCTCTCTCTCTCTCTCTCTCTCTCTCTCCCTCTCTACCTCTCTCCCTCTCCCCCCTCTCCCTCTCCCCCCAACCCCCCGTTATCAGTTGCCAATTCCTCCTCAGCTACTCGTGAATTCTTGCTCACCTTCCCCCTCCTTATTTGGATTTTGTCTGGTTTGAGCTTGAGCAGGTCTTATGTATGCTGTCACCACCACTGTGAGTTCATATGTGCAACTGCTGTGTTGTGTCTGAAAGACACACTATATTCATTATATTCATCTGCCACCCCCTGGCTTTTACAATATTTGTTCCCTCTTTTGCATCAGTTCCTGAGCCAGAAGAAGGGTGTGGTTTAGATATCCCGTTTAGGACTGCCTTTCATAGAGCTATACACACTACCAAAAGAGAAAAGTGATCCTCAGTCTTACCTATCAGTGAGCCCTACCAGCTATAATAATGACTGGACTGGCAAGATAAGCTCACTGGTCCCATAGTGGCTGGGATGTCATGGGAGTATCCAACAACTTTATGATTGGCTTTAAGGCCCAGTCAACAAGATGGAACCCATACCTGGACCTGTTATTTGGGCCAAGGACCTGTAGCTAGACAGGTCATAGACCCTAGAAGAGACCTTACTACTATTATTCTGCTAAAGGGACAGAGTATTACAGTGATTCCAGATGACTTATTGTTATACTCATAGATCAGTGCATCTTTCATCTCTCATCAGAGAAACTTCTTTTTTCCAGTAGATGGTGATTAACACAGGGACCAACAACTGGTCAGCACATGGGGAATAAAAGACTGGATTGCTCCATTCTAAATATTTCTATCTTCTTTGCACATGCATGACTCCTGGTTGAGCACTGTTTCTCCAACACTACATTTTCTACTGCTCATTCTAAACTTCCAGTGATAGCATATTTGTCAGCAAGACATTGAGTAAGCAGAGTCT